AGTGATTTGCAAATACAAAACTCTATTTGAGTATTACAATATATTGTGACACGATATATTGTCATACCCCTGCATTGTTTTGAATGTTGAACAATTGTATCAACCTATATAGCCTATATATTCTATATCCCGCGATCCAACAGAGGATAAGAGGTACAGAGAATGGATCAGTTTTTTGTAGGGAAAGACTGCCTAGTTAAATGTTTAGCCACTACTGATTTTTGAACTAATCAATCATGTTAACAACTTTACAGCACTTATTGTGAATTTCACTGATGCTGTAGTAGGGTCGCTTTGTGAAAACATCTAAATGTTTAATTATAGATATAGTAAGACCTGTTCCCCACTCATGTTGGTCTGCTGTATTCCCTGAAAAGGTAAAGAGGTGTTTCGGGTCTCGGGAGACTAGTGTAAATTGACTGACAGTGCCATCTGCTGTTTTTGGAAAAGGAAGTTGCTCCGTTGCATTTGTGACAAAATCTGCCTGCACGCATTTGTGAGAAAATCAAGCCAAGTTTCCTCATAAAAAGCCAAAATGAGTCTAACAGTTGTAACACACAATACATATATTTGTCCATACCTCTGCATTTTCTCTCAAATAGAGTTTTGTTTTTTTCAAATCACTTTGCGTTTTTTTGAAAGTCGAGTTTTTCTTTGCAAAGCAGATTGTGTTTATTTGCAAAACGCTGGATTTGTTTGATGAATATTGGCACGAAATTCGCTCCATAAGTGACCCTTATCAACAGTGACACTTACCAAATAAGGCTGCTTGTTTTATTCATTCTATCAAAAACAAAGCATGAGACAAATGACTTGTTTCTCAGCAAATGCACACATTTGTGTCATTTTATTTTATTTTGAGCTAATCTAATGTTTGGTTCCTGGATTACTTGGAATCGTGTGTCGGATGGTCAGTGCAGAAGTCACATCAAATCTTGCCCTACAAACAGAATGTTTTTTTTTTTTAATCTTAGATTTTAGAAAAGAGATATTTTTCCAGATGTTTTTGTTTTTTTTTTTCAAAATCAGAATCATAATTTAAAAAACTAGTGATGTCAAATGTACTGGTGAATTCAGTTTCAGGTTGATACTAAAATAAAAAAGATGCGACTACCCACAATATTTAGAAGGATTTAAAATGTGGGCGACATTTACGTTTCAACAAACTAATATTTTATCTCAACAATAAAAGACTCAGGAGCTGGGAAACAAAAATGTGTTCTTTATTTTTCACTCAGGTTCACATAGTCAACACATTTGCAGCACATATCCACTAGAAAATTTAGATTTTCAACATTTAATGTTATTTTCCACAACAAATCATTTAAATAAGCACTGGTCGATAGTTTTTTATAAAGTCTGAAGATCAACATAAAGATACATAATTTTTGTACAAAACTAGCCTTATTAGGAGAATTTAAGAAGAGATGAATGAAGCCATGACTTTACACAATTCAGTATAAAGTGTAAACGTCTGTAACACGCCTAGAAGAAGAAGAAGAAGAAGAAGAAGAAAATACTTTAATTTTGTATTTTAATATTTGGGGACTTTTATTCTGGTTGTCTGATTCCGCGTGACGTCATCAGCACTGCGTCCGCCTTCTCCGGTGTCAGCTGGATAAAGGTCTGTGTTTTTCAGCATTTTATGTGTAAACCGACACTAAACGTTGAGTTTTCTCTACGCTTTTTACTCCAAAAACATAACACAACTGAAAGCGTTTTCCGTTAGTAATGTGAAACGAATGTTGTCTGTTACTGACTATAATTGCAGTGCATAGTTCTGAGGTAAAGGACGCGATCATTGATTTGATCTCAGAGCGATTAAATCCTCTTCTTCTCGATCTTAATCGATGACACGTTTCCAAACGAACAGGAGAAGCCCGAGGTTTGTCGAAGATGGAGTTTGTGAAAGTGGAGCTGGTGGATGTGGAGCCGCTCAGAGTCAAAGAAGAAGCCGAGCCGCAAACAGGCAGGTTTCCATCAGTTCTGCTTTAAATATCAGTCACGATGAGGATGAGGATGAGGATGAGGATGATGATGATGCATCTTTAGCAGTGTGTGCGGTCATGAAGAAAAAACATTATATAATTCATCTTTATTTCTACTGTCCATTTATGCACACTAGCAGTCAAGAGTTGTTGAACAGGAAGATTTTTAATGTTTTTAAAGAAGGCTCTTCTGCTCACCAAGCCTGCATTTATTCGATCCAAAGTACAGCAAAAACATTAAAAAATCTGAAATATTTTTTATTATTTAAAATAACTGCTCTCTCTGTGAATCTCTGTTAAACTGTGAACACAGTTGAGTAGAATTTTTTCAGGTTTCTTTGATGAATAGAAAGTTCAGAAGAACAGCATTTATATGAAATATAATCTTTTGTAACATTATAAATGTCTTCATCATCGCGTTCAATAAATTTAAAGCATCCTTGCTAAATAAAAGTATTAATTTCTATAATTTCTCTCTAAAAAAAAATATATATATATATATATATACAGACTCCAAGGTTTTGAATGGTAGAGTGTATAATGTTACAAAAGCTTTTTATTTCAGATAAATGTTGATCTTTGGATCTTTCTATTCATCAAAGAATCCTGAAAAAGGTACTCAACTGTTTTAAATATTGATGAAAATAATAATAATCAGAAATGTTTGTTGAGCAGCTGGATCGAATAAATGCAGGCTTGGTGAGCAGAAGAGCCTTCTTTAAAAACATTAAAAATCTTCCTGTTCAACTCTTTGACTGCTAGTGCATCTTCTTTAACCCTTCCTGCTCCTCAGTTGATTTTTACACGTGTTCATTCTAGACTTGATAGAAGAGGAAAGTCAAGATCCGAATGATGAGGAGGAGGAGGATCCTCACAGTTTCACAGCCGGAGAAATGTCACAAACGGAGGATTCGACACAAACGACAGGAGCCAAGAAGTCCTTCTCCTGCCCGCACTGCAGAGAGAGCTACAAGCGTAAAGCAGACCTGAAGGATCACATGGGGATTCACAGCGAGCGGCCGTACTCGTGTCTGCAGTGCGGCAAGAGCTACACGCAGAAGATCAACCTCCAGAATCACCTGCTGATTCACAACGGAGAGAAGCCCTTCACCTGCTCGCAGTGCGACCGGAGCTTCACGCGCAAGGGAGACCTGAAGAAGCACATCAGCGTTCACTTCGGAGAGCGGCCCTTCACCTGCCAGCAGTGCGGGAACAACTTCAGGCACCAGGGGAACCTCACCAGTCACATGAAGATTCACACCGGAGAGAGATCGCAGCGCAATTACAGCGACAAGAAACTCGCGCAGGTGTGCAACTACAAAAAGCCAGTGCTGTATCACGCCGGAGACATGCCCTTCAGATGTGAGCCGTGCGGCCAGAGATTCATTCTGTCCTCGCACCTGAAGAGACACCAGAAGTGGCACTCGCATTAGAGCTCAGAAACCAGTATATACTTTCTGAACGAGTGTGTGTGTGGGAAATCAGCACATAATCAGTTCTTCAGTTCAGAGACGGAAGCATTGTTTACAGTCGAGACGGAGCAAAGTTTGTTCTCAGCTCTAGTAGATTCAGATTAATCACATCCAAAATAAACGCTTGTGTACATAATGTGTGTGTGTGCTGCATATATATATATATATATATATGTATATATATGTGCGTGTGTGTGTGTATATATATATATATATATATTATATATACACAATATATGCATATTTTTCTTAAATATATACATACATGCATGTGTGTCATATATATATATATACATAATATACGCAGCACACACATTATGTACACAAAAACTTTTATTTTGGATCGCGATTAAATTATTCCTGAAAAGAGCCGTTTTACTGAAGTGACCTGCAGATTTCACTCATTCGATAGAGAAAGTTGAAGGTCGAGTCTGTGCTATTAGCAGTGCAGGACTAGCGGTAGCAAATCATATTAATTATTATTACATTCATTGTGTGAGAGGGCATTTGTGAAGCATTATTATTATTATTGCATTTTCCTCCATATGTTAATTTAGTTTATAGCTGTTGAGAAGTGATGCATGGAGAGCCGAAATAGTGATTTACTGTTACGAGAATCCCTAATTAACACAATCTAACGAGAGGACTTAACGTTTGGCGTTCATCACACTAAAGAGTTCATCTGTAACTATTGACTCTGAATTCAGCTCAGTAATGACTCTATATACTGTTCTCTGTCGAGCTGAGAGTCAGTCTGGGATTATTAAAGATGCCGTTTCTTTACTGTTCGTTCATGTAAATTAATTCGAAGCAGTCTGTATTGTATAAAGTGCTATATGAATAAATGTGACTCGTCGTGTAGTGTAGGATATATAGGGCTGCATGTGAAATACATTTGTATATGCATTACATTCATCTGTTTGAGTCGCTTGAGTTTTTCTCCATCAGCTGGGCAAAACATTTACTTTTCCTTCAGCCCGAGGCTTTTGGTGTGAAAGGGACCAAAATACAACTTTTTAATATTAAAAAGAAACAGGCAAGCCCTGCCCAGATTCAAAAAGTAACACAAAAGTAACGTAATTAGTTACTTTAGGGAGTGGCAATATTGTAACTTTTCCCAACACTGGTGTTAATATATAAATGTATTGATTGCCTTCTTATCAAATCAGATCTATTAAAAACTTTGATTTCTCAAAGCCAAATGATTTTAAAAGATGGCTTAGGCACCTGCAAAAGATCAAGATAACCTTGAAAAAGCATCAGATTTGTATCACGTTTCCGTGCGGATTTAATGTATGCGAGACCATGACAGAACAGCATGGAAATGAAGTACTTACCAAAATACTGTAATTCATGATTTTATCACTGAAGTTTATTCTTTGTCTGAACTCTTTGCTTTTGCAAAAAAAAGAGAGAAAATACAACTATTCATTGTTTGTTGAATGAATGAATGAACCGGAGCTAATATAAACTTGCATTTAATTTTAATCATGTAATAGTAAATGTTGAACTTTACACTTTTTACATTACATTATCATGCACACACCAGCCTGTTTTTAGTTGCTGGTCAGACAAACATAAAATAATCTGGAGTCACGCTAATGTGAAGATCAGCTTCTCAAGCTCAAACATATGCGATCCAGTGGCAAGAACACATAAAATGAGAATGCTTGCTGAAATTATTTTTTAATCTTCTGTAACACATTTGAAGGAACACAAGAGAAATAAACGCTGGCTCTCTCCAGATCCAGTGCGGTTCTTCAGGGAGCTCTTTAGATGCTAACAAGCTAAAAGTGGCTAGATAACCGAACGATTATTTATTTAACGCAGAACAATCATGGAACAGTCATCGCAACACTGTGCTGATCCGAGAAATGTCTAAGTTTCTTCAGAGAGAATCCTGTGAAAAACAAGAACAGCATTAAGTGATGAAACCATGTTGTCCTGATCTAGAGAAACACAGCGAGTTCATGAACGTGACGAAACAGCCTCGAACCTTGGCGAGGCCTGCAGACTGACTGGAGGATCACAGCCCAGGAACGCTCTGTTATCATGCGAGTACTGCAGCAGAGCGCTGAAACACGGGTCCTGTCATGAAGCACACGAAACACAGTTCAGAGTCTGTCAGGGGCTCCAAATCACCACCTTAGAATTATTAATACGTGTCCCTGCAGCACAAACGCAGTCATAAGCAGCACAGGTATATTTATAGCAACAGCCAACAATACATTGTATCCATCTTCTTTTATGCCAAAAATCATTAGGATATTAAGTAAAGATCATGTTCCATGAAGATATTTTGTAAATTTCCTACCGTAAACATATCAAAACTTAATTTTTGATTAGTAATATGCATTGCTAAGAACTTCATTTGGACAACTTTAAAGATGATTTTCTCAATATTTAGATTTTTTTGCACCCTCAGATTCCAGATTTTCAAATAGTTGTATCTCGGCCAAATATTGTCCTATCCTAACAAACCATACATCAATGGAAAGCTATGTATTCAGCTTTCAGATGATGCATACATCTCAATTTAAAAAAACTGACCCTTGTGACTGGTCTTGTGCTCATATAAGGAAATAGGAAGGAATGATTTTTGTAATGCGGGGAGTTAATTCCATTAATTCAAGTTGTTTAATAGAAATGAATATGAATTATTAAATCTTTTCCAGGTGGAAAGAAATAAAACCTTGGTCTGAAATCACTCTTGAGTTATCAAAGGTTATGTGATTAAACTGCTTGGATTGTGTTGAGTATCTACACAGATGTCCTTCGTTTGGATTGAGTGAAGAGGGCTTTAAATCTCACCTTGATTAAAACGTGTGGGTTTCCGATCACAATGAGCAGTGCTTTGGCTCGTGTGATGGCAACGTTGAAACGCTTCGGGTCGGAGAGGAATCCCAGCATGCTTTGCAGTTCTTCATTCAGCAAGGACTCGTTGGATCGGACCTACAGTTTAGAAAACAGTGTTCTGAGCTCTCCAAACATTCATTATAATGCAGTAGATGCTTTACCAGTTTCACACGATCGGTCTTGCTCGTCTAATTGTTGTGATTTATAAAGGCAGCCCCAACGTACAATGCAATTTACAAAAAGGTCCTTCGGTTCACTTATTTCCACAGTGCGAGCCGCCACTCCAGTCAAAGCACTTGATTTTTAATGCACTTGAATATTAAAATGAAAAGGTACTGACTGATTAATATTTATGCACACACGGGCTACTATATCTCGTTTTATATCTAGTATGTGCTGGGGCTGCAAGGAAGATTATTAGCTGTTATGTTTAGTTTTTATTAATTATTTGAATCAGTGGACTGTTAACTGGAGACTCACTCTGACTGAATCATTTAAATCACTGAATCATTTGAATCAGTGAACCATTCAATGGAGACTCACTCTGACTGAATCATTTGAATCAGTGAACCATTCAATAGAGACTCGCTCTGTCTGAATCATTTGAATCAGTGAACCATTCAACAGAGACTTGCTATGACTGAATCATTTAAATCAGTGAACCGTTCAATGGAGACTCACTCTGACTGAATCATATGAATCAGTGGACTGTTAACTGGAGACTCACTCTGACTGAATCATTTGAATCAGTGAACCATTCAATGGAGACTCATTCTGACTGAATCATTTGAATCAGTGAACCATTCAATAGAGACTCGGTCTGACCGAATCATTTGAATCAGTGAACCATTCAATAGAGACTCACTCTGACTGAATCATTTGAATCAGTGAACCATTCAAAAGAGACTCGCTCTGACTGAATCATTTGAATCAGTGAACCATTCAAAAGAGACTCGCTCTGACTGAATCATTTGAATCAGTGAACCATTCAAAAGAGACTCGCTCTGACTGAATCATTTGAATCAGTGAACCATTCAAAAGAGACTCGCTCTGACTGAATCATTTGAATCAGTGAACCATTCAAAAGAGACTCGCTCTGACTGAATCATTTGAATCAGTGAACCATTCAAAAGAGACTCGCTCTGACTGAATCATTTGAATCAGTGAACCATTCAAAAGAGACTCGCTCTGACCATTCAATAGCTCTGACTGAATCATTTGAATCAGTGAACCATTCAAAAGAGACTCACTCTGACTGAATCATTTGAATCAGTGAACCATTCAAAAGAGACTCGCTCTGACTGAATCATTTGAATCAGTGAACCATTCAATGGAGACTTGCTATGACTGAATCATTTGATTTTGCACGCTGATTTACAAATCAGACAGCACTATCACCTCTCAGAGCAGGTGACGATTTCTCTAGTTCAAAATAACGAAGAGCTACATATTTTTAAGAAATGCAGTGGAGTAAAAAGTATGAAATCATGCTTTGACTTATTTCACTACATTCCAAAGTTTCTTGAAATGAAACTACTCTGATAAAGCACATAGACATGAAAATGCACTTAAGTAGAGTAAGGAAGTGAAAACACTGGTTACCGTTGACATGATGATGATGAGGAACTCCTGGCCCTGGAACTCCTCCACCGATCCCACCTTCACCTCTCCCAGACCCACTCTGTGCAGCAGCACACGGATCTTCTCCACCTGACCACACAAACATCTCAGGACTTCATCATGATACAAGCCATGAAAGACAAGTCTGCTGATTAAACGGGAGTTTACATAATGACTGACAATTCACTTGAAACTTAGCTTGTTAACTAGTAATCCTGGCATTGTGTCCTCTCAATACTTCTGGCTCTATGACAAACGGCATTTAGAAGCTGCTTAGGATAAAAGCGACTGCATGCATGGAAATGGACGAACAGATGCGGTGTCTGAGGGGTTTTCTGCATGCACAGAGCTGCCAGCCTTAGAACAAGTTTTAGAGTACCACCAGTGTGACGGGACGTGATGGGTATTTTTTTTGCAATTTGCAATTTAAAATGTTGAAGTATTGTTTTTATGGATTGGCCATTATTGAGCGCTATAAACGCATGTAATGAAACGCCACATGTGCATCACAGAAGTAATAGAACTTATGACGCTTCAGGTTTAGAAACGCTTCTCATGTGATACACATGTATCCATTTTTAAAGTGTTACCTATTGATTCTACCGCTTATATTACATATGATCTGTATATATTAATATTCATTTCAAATAAATGTTTTAATAATTGTTAAACTAAAAGTGCTTGTGTGTAATGGATTAATAATAATATAAATCATATTATAATTATATAAATCATATGCAAATTGTAATTATCATTAAAGCCAGACAATTTTGTTGTAATTATTTTAAGGTACTTTATAGTGACCTTTAACCCTTTCCCAGCCAAACAGAATTTTCCAGGTTTCTGTGTTTTCACTGTTACACGCTAGGGGGCGCTATTACGCATCTCCTGAATGAGTCTAAACAGTGCTGATCAAAAACACAGACGAGGAAGACGCAGAAACGAGCGATCTCATATGCAAGCATATGCATATGAAAAATAATGCGATCATCAACACTAACCGCGTATAAATGAAAACTGCCTAATGTTCTCGAGTGGAATGTTGATCCAAAAAGTATTGATAAAAAAAAAAAAAACAATGCGTGAAGCTAGAAGAGATTTTTGTTGTTTGGAAGCAGAGGGTCTGATCTTTATGTTGATGTACTGCATGTTCAGATATTCATACAACAAAATATTCTGGGGGCAGTGAAATTTTAGAGAAAATCAGCAAAAACACTGGCAGGGAAAGAGTTAATTTGTAGGAAGAGAAACTGGGGGAGTGACTTTTTTTCTGCGTCAGACAGACATGTGTCACTTTGCTCACATCTGATTGGTCCAACTTCAGTTTGAGATCTCGAACCCAGAACACAACCAGCTCCAGAGCAGCTGTGGAGTGCAAGTTACTATGGCAATGAAAAGCCAAGCCACTTTCATGGTACCTAAATCCTAGGATTGGTGCAAACTAAACTGAAACTAGCCAGCTAAACCGGCTTCATGGTACAGGCCCCAGATCTAAACCAGGCTGGATTTGTTTGGTTTTGTCGACTCTAAACCTGCTCTGAAACTCACAGACACTCACCTGTTTCTTATATGGAGCGATGACGCCGATGTCTGTCGCTGCGATGGGGTTGTAGAGTCTCTTCGCGAGCTGGCAGCAGTACATCATGACTTGCACAGCTTCAGCGGGATTGAACCACGACGGATTATTGCCCTCTCTCATCTCAGTCCCCTTCAAACACACACACACACATGGCGTCTGAGGGTGCTTTCAGACCTGTACATCGTTTGCTTTGTTCCCAAACAGGGACTTAATTTGTTACAATGTTGCTTTTTCTTCTTGGTCCGGTTCGCTTTCACAAGGCAACATTGCAAAGCTTATTGTGGCTTTATAGCGGTCCTGGCAAACGCCAAACAAATGTAGCAGTCATCCCGCTCTAATATATCCATCTATATATAATTAGATTTTCTATATATAAAGAGTTCATTTGCAAAAACAGATAACTCCGTTTTTAACAATTTTCAAAAATCATGTTTTTTCGTTGTGCATTCCAATTAATCTCAAACAAACTGCAGCTGGGTTATTTTGATTTAGGTTAAACAATAACTTTAAAATACAGCTAACTAACACAATAAAACAAAAACATGATAACATAATTAATAACATGATTTTTGAAAATTAAAAAAAACAGTTATCGGTTTTTGCACAAACTCTTCATATTATACATATATATATATATATATAAATGCAGTTACAGCCAGCAATATTAAGCTATATTTATTCTTGTAATGCGCAGAGAAGAGCAATTAATTACACAATGTTTTAATATGAAGATTTGCTCTTTGGTTTTCAAATGCAAAAACAAATATTCTCACTCACAGAATCAGACACTGACTGCTGCATTTACGTAACATATCTCCCGTTATGAATTATGATACCGCTTGGTCCGTTGGCTCAGACTGCTCACCACGAGTGAACCGCTCCAGAGTGTGTTCTCTGAACTAGAGGCAGGTGTGAAAGAGTCGATACTCACCCGCACGCCGTGAAACATGAAGGGGAAGCCCTTAGTGGGAAGCCTGTTCCAGTGGCAGAGCGCATCCACGACGGTCCTCTGAGAGCGAACACACAGCTCTCCGGCGTAAAACAGCCGCGACGGCAGCTCCAGCAGAGCCTCGTGGGAGCGGTAGTTATACACCAGCTTCATCACCTACAAAACCACACGCATTAATACACTACTCATCACAGGAGTCTGGGAAGTGTTCCCGATCAGTGGAAAATAAGAACCATTATTAGACTGGGGTTTCCAGGTTCAGTGCATGCTGCAACGATGGAAAGTTCATTTGAAATAATTGAGGAAATCTGTGCCACTTTAATGTGCAAATGCACTAGGATTCTCCCTTAAATGTTTTTATTGATTTCATCTTAAATCATGATGTGTCAATAAAGGTTCCTGACGGAGACGGTGATTATTTCAAAGCTGAAATTAGTCTAGAGTATAAACCATTTCAAAATAAAAGTGTTTTATTTTTGCACTTAAATACTTTTGTTTGCCGACTTTGCACCTGTTGGATATCAATAGATTTAATTTTTAACATCACTATAGTTATTTGCTTCTGCCATGGTGTGATTCTCCTCGTGACTGTCTTATTACAGCTTTGCTGAAATAAATATACATTTATAAAGATTTTTTTTTTTTTTTTTTTACAATTACTAAAAAAAAAAAAGAAAGAAAAAGAAAATATCCAATTAAATTAGTATTTTAGTTAAGTTTTATCACAACATTTGAGTCGATCACCACAGCATACTAAAACAATAATTTCTACTCATTTCTCAAATTTGCAGAGACTTCTGTTTACAACAAAGATCAACAAGTGATCGCATGGAGTACACAATCAGAAATCTGCATTTTTCTTAAAGGTGATATGTTTTCCAATGTTTAAAAAACTTTATATCTATGTTAAATAAGTTTTATCTAGTATAATAGTTTTTAAGTTTCCTTTTTTGAAGAAAAGAGTACATTTGGATGCATTAAACTGATCAAAAGTGATAAATCTTATGTAACAATGTCAACTGCTTTACCAATTAAAAAAAAAAGTGCGGTCAAATGATTAATCGCATCCAAAATAAAAGTTTGTGTTTACGTAATGTGTGTGTGCACTGTGTGTGTATATATATATATATATATATATATATAAATACACACACATGCATGTATATAAGAAAAATGTTATATTTGTATATTAAATATATTTATATATATGTATAATATAAATTATATAAATATATACATGTAAATATTTTCAAAACATATACTGTGTGTGTGTGTATTTATATATACACATTAAATATATAAATAATATACAAATGAATAAAGGTCAATTTTTTGAGATTGAGATTCATACATCATCTCAAGAGCATTGCGTCAGCAGCGCATAAGGTCGTGGGTTCAATTCCCAGAGAACAATATTTGGCTGAGATACAACTATTTGAAAATCTGGAATCTGAGGGTGCAAAAAAATCTAAATATTGAGAAAATCATCTTTAAAGTTGTCCAAATGAAGTTCTTAGCCATGCATATTACTAATCAAAAATTAAGTTTTGATATATTTACAGTAGGAAATTTACAAAATATCTTCATGGAACATGATCTTTACTTAATATCCTAATGATTTTTGGCATAAAAGAAAAATGTATAATTTTGACCCATACAATGTATTGTTGGCTATTGCTACAAATATACCCCAGCGACTTAAGACTGCTTTTGTGCTGCAGGGTCACATATATTACGTAAACAAAAACTTATTTTGGATGCGATTAATCATTTGACAGCACAAAAAAAAAAAAAACTTTCTTCAATCTTTCCTAAAAAAATTGTATCAGTTTTCACAAAAACAGATCAATTCCTGTAGACTGAATTATTTACTGTGGAAACTGACAGCATGTCAAACATCCTGTAACTAAAGCGCAAGCTGCATTTATCTCAGAATATTTCATATATCCCACAATCCCTTGTAATGCAGCCTCCTGACCAGCAGGGGGTTGTATCCTCTCTCGCTGCAGCTGTAGAGCGGCATTCCCATCAGTCTCTCCAGCAGAGACACGCCGAGTCCAAACACAGCGGCCAGCTTCGACTTCACCACCGGCCCCAGCTGCTTCGGATCTCCAGCCAGCACGATCTGCAGAAACCAGAGACGGATGAAGCAGTCTGCAGTGACCAGTGCTTCCACACAGACTCTGCTGGCTCTCACCTGTCCACTCGTCTCAGACAGTAAACTCAGAGGGATGAGCGACTCGGGTTCAGTGGCCTGACCCGCCTCATCCACAAACACATGGGTAAAGTGACCAACACTGAAAACACACAAAACACACCCACGTCTTTACAAGAGCTGACTGCACATCATTAACATCACATGCAAGTCAATATTATATTGTTTTTCCCAAGCATGTTTTACCAATTTCAAACCACATAAATCTTATTAACTATTATTTTACATATGAAGAAACCGATAACCGATCTTTTTTTTTTTTTTTTTCAGAAATCACGTTTTTTTTATTGCGCACTCCAAGTAATATCAATCTAACTGCAGTCGAGTTGTTTTGATTAAGTAGTAATAACAAACAAATACAGGTAATTTACTAAATTAAAGTTCATTGAAAGTATTTTTTATTTTTTTTTTACATATTAAAAGTTTGTTTTAGCAAAAGCAGATAACTCCACATTTCATGTTTTAGAGTTTAAAAAAAACACTCGTTTAATCTCCTCAGATGACAATGTAGATGCCTGACAAACGTTGTTATCATTATGATCATAAACTGTATGGATGTGATTACACGCAGCTTTTCCCTCACCATTGTAATGCGCTGCTTTTGCAAGCTTCCGTGAAAACACTTCAGCTTTTATTTTCCTTTTTCGCCCTGAAGAAGATATCACAGCTTCATCAAGTTCGTCGAAATGATCCTCGATCACTTTAGTCAGCTTTGACGGGACTCCTCTCAGCTAGCACGTCTTTTCAGAGTGAAAGTAGCCTTGTCACCTGACCTGAATGCAGCGCGCTGATTCGCTGAAATGGATTTATCGGCTTCTGTTCAGAAACAACAAGGCGCTTGTCATCTTCTGCAGTAAAACGTGAACTTGCGATGCCTTGAAAGTGAACAAAACCGGCTTTTTTGACAAAACGTGTTTAGGGTTCAGATCGCACTATATGTGGAGAATAATGCACGGCAATCAGTGCTTTTTTTTTTGTTTTTGTTTATCGGTTTTTGCAAATGAACTCTTCATATAATCATTTATAAGTTATACTGTGGAGGCCAAAATTATTAGAACACTAGTATTTTCAGCAGCTAAAAGATATTTCTATCTTTTGCTGTAGTGTGTATCTCATGGGCATTTCATAATTTTCACCATTTCAGTTAAATCTCTTGTTTGGCCCATTTGCCTGTAAAAATAACCCTGCTTAATAATTATGCACACCTGAATGTTTTTCGCTTCCAGCCCTTGTTAACAATCATATGCAGCTTATTCATCATTACATGTAAAATGAATAGTAGTTATTAAGATTGATGTGGTTTGGAATTGGTCAAATGTGCTTGGAAAAAAAAATCTGATCAGATTATTTTGATGTATATTAAGGTATATTTATGTAGTGTATCTAACGTAAGGCTGTGTCTCACCGCAGACCGATCTGGTAGAACATTCCAGCGCTGGAACAAGTGGAAACTACGATACGATGGAAACTGGCGTGGCGAATATCTTCTCCAGCTCTGGCGTACTGACGCAGCTCCTCCGGCATAGACTGCAGAACACAAAATATGAATATTCATCACAATTTAAATTTGTCATGTTATAATTCCAGTAACAGAAAAAAAAACCCTGGCTTTAGATAATTGCCTATCTAGCTATCGATATATCTATCTAGCAACACCTTAGCAACCACCCCGGGTACCCTAGCAATGGCCCTAGCAACCACCCAGAGTACCCTAGCAACCGCATAGCAACACCCAAGCAACCACCCCGAGTACCATAGCAACTGCATAGAAACACCCTAGCAACTGTCCCGGGTACCCTAGGAACCATATAGCGACACCCTAGCAACTAGACAATTTTTCTATCTATCTATCTATCTATCTATCTATCTATCTATCTATCTATCTATCTATCTATCTATCAGCAACCACCCCGGGTACCCTAGCAACCATATAGCAACACCCTAGCAACTAGACAATTTTTATCTATCTATCAGGGTTTTTTATGCAAGGTTATTTTTATGTATTTTTCTTATCCTTACACTTTTTGTACTTTATAAAAGCCCTTCTAGAGACAAGTGTTGCAAATTAGCTCTCGCTATGAACACTGTTACTGGCATCAGACGGCTGTTCTTTGCAGATTTATCTATGCATATTAGACCTGTCCCTATTCAAATAAATCATTAATAAATAAATAAAGTAACAGAATTTTTTTACAGTTTTTTAAATAGAGTTAGTTCACCCAAAAATTAATCATTTACTCACCCTCATGTCATTCCAAACCCATAAGAGTTTGATCCATCCTCTTCTGGAACAAGACATTTTTAATGAAACTCAACGTACTCAACGTTATCCCAAAAGATCCCAAGGACTTGTAAATCCAGAGAAATTCCAGTTTTAAATAATGGCTCGTCTCTGTCGCATATCAATGACGTAATATCCACACTATCCTCAGTTAAATGCTGCTGTACAGTTCAACTAAATCCATTACGGCTGTTGTGAGATTCATTCATCAAACCGTGCATAGACAGCTTTACTGATTGTAAAGGGAGTTTTTTGAGAGTGCTTAAACTCGCGCTAGACTGAAGTCAGTCATAATGTTCTTTGACAATGGCGTGTTCTTTGCTCACTTTCTCTGTATAATTTACCCTGTGTTGGGAAAAGTTACTTTTAAAAGTAACGCATTACAATATCGCTTGCTTGTTTTTAATATAAAAAGTTCTATTTTTGGCACCAAAAGCCTCAGGCTGAAGGAAAAGTCAATTCTCGTCTAGAACGCAGAAGAAGAAGTTCAGACATCTTCAGCGATTAAAAAAAAAGAAGAACAGATGTTAGTTTATCTAAAGTCATTTTTGCTTAGTAGTATGATTGAATTGGACATCGAAGCTCAGCAGAAAAGACACTTGTTAATGAAATGGGATTAAATACATTAAGCATATTTGTATTATTTAACATTTAATTATTGCATATTTGTGTCACATTCTGAGTTGCATTTCACCGTTTTATTCATTTTGAGGAACACTGAATCAGTTTTTTTGTGAGTGAGATGAATTAATGCATGTTCACATTTATTCTAGAACTAAAGTAACATCTTGCTCCTGATTTCTCTCAACATGAGCACAGGAGAGCTTTTAATCAATACATGGGGAAACAAAGTAACTGGTTTACTTATTTGAAAAAGTAACTCAGATATTTTCTTCCTAATTAAAAAGTAATGCGTTACTTTACTACTTACTTGAACAAAATAATCTGATTATGTAACTGGCGTTACTTGTAGTGCGTTACTACCCCCAACACTGATAATTTATGCTTTATCAAGCATGACCGCACCTCTTCTGGCCTGCAGGTGGCGTTGACGCGAGCCAGACTGGCGGTGTGCAGGAATCCGCTCTGGTGCAGACGCATGCAGACGAGGTCCGCGGCGCTGTTTGAGGGCGTGCACACCAGCACACGACTGCAGGGGATGCGGTGATGCACCTGCGCACACACAGACCGAAAGAGTTCACACATATTCACCATCTGACCTCAGCTCACGCACTACAGCAAACTCAGCAAGAGTTCTGAGCAACATGCACCACTTGTGTGTGTGTGTGTGTGTGTGTGTGTGTGTGTGTGTCTGCCATCAGTGCTCAGATTAGAAATTCACTGATGAGTTTTCCCCCATTTACATTTAACCTCTACCCATTTATTATCATGAGGAATGCAAAACAACAAATGCACATCATAAACCACATCTACAAAATAAAAAAGAAAGTAAAAGTACAACAGCCCCAAAATGCATTTGCACGTTAAATATGTGACTGTCATTCATCAGAAGTTGAACAAGTGTTTTGATGTGCGTCTCAAATGCTGCAGGAGTTTTTCTCTTCACTAGTGTCGTTTTTACTCATTTTTGCTCCGTGTCTCTGAATCAGCAGCAATGTACCTAATGTTTAGGGGACTCATTTTTTAGGGAATTTTATATTACTAATATTTTTGTAATATGGCTTGTAGTGTGGCTATTTTTAGGACTATTTAAACTTTGTGAAGCATGCCCTCGATCTGATTTTCTGAAAAAAACAAAACATCAAATGTTTATGTTATGCAGCACCAGATGATTAAGATAAAAACACAAGACAATTACCGCATTGTGTTTGATTATATTCCCTGTATTTGTTCTGACTGCGCTAGATTCATGTTGAAGAGAATGCACTCATGTTTAGAGATGAACTGAGCAAACTTTGTACAATTCTTAAATATTGAATAGTTTATTTTAAATGGCTCTGCCTCACAGACTCCCAGCCTCGAGCACAATCTGCAGTGACTGGTGTTGTACCTGCAGAATGGCCTCTATGAGAGTGATGGTTTTCCCGGTGCCAGGAGGCCCGAACAGAACGTATGGCGTGGGACGACACTCTCCACTCAGGATCCGTTTGACCGCCTCTTTCTGCGCCGGATTCAGCTGAGCGTTGAAGAACTGGCCAGGGTTTGGGATGCGCTTCGCCGTCATTGTCAAATCTGAAACGGCACATACATCTGAAATCACACAGTGTCCAATTCAAAAGGAAATATATCTGCAGCAATTTTGGGGCTAATGGCCAAAGAGCCACACTGGAAAGACAATGGTTCAGCTAAGCTAACACAGCACAGGTAAAGAAGCACAGACTGTTTTCTGGACATATTTCGGTGTGCAACCGTGTGGAGAGACATCACGGAAGTTTATCGCTAAATGAGGAGCTCCTTCTACAATCTGGAACTGGTTTGTTCAGGGCTGTACAGTGCGACAAAAATCAGTCCGAGCGATGAATAAATGTACTACAGTAGCACTTGTGCCATACAGTTTTGCATGTGTATGAGCCTGTTTACACACCTGTTGTCACAAAGATAATATTTTTTGACATGCTCTTTCTCCAAATTAACTTCGTAACATCAGTCGAGTGTTTGAAATAACTTTATGATCCGATGTGGTTTCAAATCACAGAATGAGGCAGAAATCATACTATTTTATAGTATTATATATACAGTGATAAAGGCTATGTCGATTAGTACTGCATTATAAACATACTTCATCCTTATAAAAATACCCAAGACTGCTTGAAGAACACAGATAAACCATGTATTGTCACAATCGTATGTTTATTGTCTTTAAGTTTCCTCAGTTAAAATATCTCTATCTGCATTTTATTCAGTCACTAGTGTCGTTTTTACTCATTTTTGCTCCGTGTCTCTGAATCAGCAGGTGTTTTAGTCAAGTTTTTATCCAACACAATGCTATTCACACATTTTAAGCGTGATTTTGCTGGTAAAAAAAGAATTGCTAGTTGCATGCACATATTTAATTTAGAAGTAATGCAGGACTTCAGGTTTGCAGGTTGTTTGCTGCTCCGGCACAGCTTGCATAGTTTATTCTTAACTCCTCCTCCTGGTAAACAGAATCAGAGATAATTCAAGCACACTATCTCTATCTGCATTTTATTCAGCTTCAGGGATAACTGGATGCCTTTGTCCATATTAGGGATTTCCTGGAGCATTGTCAGTGCTATTACTTCTGTGATGCATGTGTGTAGTCTCTGCACCTCTGGCTTCCAGTAAGATTAAACAGCCATTACATTACGTGTGTACTCAGGAATGCTCACAACACCCTATTGTGGGTAAAAACAGGAAAGAAAATACTGTTCTCTAAAGAAACAGGATTTTTTTTTTTTGTCTCTTAGTGGATGCATAAGATTCCCTAAATTATCGTCATTGATATCATTATCGCAATAAATAGCAGAAATTGTGATATATTTTTAAGCCCCTATCGCCCATCCCTAGCCTAGTTGTTGTTGTTTTTTAATCCAGTCACCTGGTTTAGTTTGTGTGGCCACAGACACCATCTCTGCAGTCAGTGTCGATGAGCCGTCTGTTTTTTGGGTCGCTTTGTTCTCCTGATGACAGAATCAGAACAGAGACTCGTCAATCACATGATCATTTACTACAGACTCTATGATGAATTAATGATCACGGGTTCACCTCCTCTTGAAGATGTCGGTCCTCTTCCCTCCACTCTCCGCTCCACTGAGGCGGCTGCAGCAAGAGCATGCTGGGAAACAAAACTCAACCCAGACAACACAACACATCTGTACTACTGCGTCTCCATACAAACCAACTCAAAACTTCCTTCATTTGAGATCTGTGCTGGCAAAATGAGTGTGAATGCGCATGGGCTAATTTTGAGCTACGGGCAAAAAAAGTGAAAAATGATTTTAGTCCAATTTGAGGTTTTCACAAAAATGCAGAACGTCTTTACAACCACATCAAGACGTTTTAGACACGTCAGTCAAGTCATGAAGTTACCAAAAAGGCGATTAAAGTGATTTAAGAACATGTCTCTGAAATGCAGTGGTTTTCCAAACTGTCCTGGAGCAGCAGCACTGTCTGCCTCATCTAACACCCGATCGATTCAACTCCTCAGCTCATTATAGAGACTTTAAGACCTGAAGTGGGTCAGAAAATGTATAGAAATGTGAGAAAATAAAAACACGATGCATGTCAGATCTGTGCCACGTCTCTTAAACAGCCAAAAAAAGCTAATAACCAGCTGCTGTGATGTCTGTTCATCAAAGAACAAAAGAAAAAAAGAGGAAATCAATAACTTTAGTAGCTTTAAGGATTAATCTACAGTATATTTAATTTAAAATGTTGTGTTTGATAACACTTGATATCTCTCAATTATACTGTAATGTTGAATGGCTAGTCAATGGGTAAATATTAGTGAACAAATATTTCATAGAGACATCAGTAGTATTGGTATCAGTGATACTGGCCTTCAGCCAAAAAAGAAAAAAAAAGATGCCATTATACAAATATTACAAATATACTGTCTTTGTTGTTTCTACATTAATTTTAGGATTGAATGTGAAATTGCAATAAAAAAATAATTATAAAAATGTTAGTTAGGTGGAATTAATCGCGATTAATCGCAATTTCAGAAAAAAATGTGATTATTTATTTTTTTATAGATTGACAACACTAATTTTTACATTTGATGCTTTTGTTTAGTGAAATGAAAAAAGTAATATACTACACTTGTTTCCAAGATGCCATTATACAAATATTACAAATATACTGTCTTTGTTGTTTCTACATTAATTTTAGGATTGAATGTGAAATTGCAATAAAAAAATAATTATAAAAATGTTAGTTAGGTGGAATTAATCGCGATTAATCGCAATTAATTTCAGAAAAAAATGTGATTATTTATTTTTTTATAGATTGACAACACTAATTTTTACATTTGATGCTTTTGTTTAGTGAAATTAAAAAAGTAATATACTACACTTGTTTCCTTTTATTTGTTCTTTTTTGCATCTGCTCTTATTTATCGATGAAATAAAAATAGCTATATTGTGATTATTAATATAGCAATAGTTATTAAGAACAGAACTGGATGAAAAGATGCAATGTTGCAGGTGATTTTGCTTTGGAACCTTCAGAAAACTTTAACTCGATTTTTCTCAGAACTGACTTTGCTGACTATGTTGACTTCAAATGAGTGTAGCTCAGTCATTTTTCGTCCGATTCCAACTCATACATCATTTTGAAGGGTAAAAATAACTCATTTTTGAAAATGTGCTCATTGTGACTCATTTCGCCAGCACAGGACACATTTTCTATTTAAGCTTTCTTAAATGTCACGGTGACCTATTTCTATGTTTGCTGTCATTTATAGCATACATTTAACCAATGCATATTTGTATTTATTTTTATAAAAAATAAAAAAAAATTGGAAAGATCAAACGCTTCAACATATGACCATCGTTTATCCATTTACATCTATTAGCAACTGTAATTTTAGATTAGTTATGATAATTCACTTCTGTACAAAGTGTTGTCTTACTGTTGTCTCCGAAGTGTTTGCTCTGCTCCAGAGCACAGTGGCACCTCCTCATGGTCAGCCTGGACAGAACGGGTTATTCCTGTGAGATTTCTGGTCTAATCATGAAAAACGAAGGCTTTATGAAGCTGAAGCGAGCAGCGCACCTGTTGAAGGAGAACTCCACGTCCAGAGGTTCTCCGAGGTAGTTCTTCTGAAAATCAGCGTTCACTCGTAAACTCACGTCCTCGTCGCTGATCTGCGAGAGCCGATGCACAGAACATGTGACTGACAGCTGTCAATCAATCACACAACAAGGCTTCCACATAACGTCCAACACAAGAAGACATTCATATAGGTCTGCAACAACCGACTGGTAGAGGGCTTCTGCAGGCTTTATTAAAGTAAATTAACCACCTTTTTAAGAGCAAGAGAAGAAAATTAAGCAATAAATTGAATGGAACACAATGTCAAGTTTCAAAGTGTGAAAATACAACTTCCAACAATCTCCATTACTTTTCAATTCATTTGACAAAAAACAAGAACTTTTACTGTATCTTCTGATCACATAGCAAAAACAATGATGCTCTTCCTCAGTATTTTTGTCTTGTTTTCCAGTGCAAATGACAAAAAATTCTAAAAATCAAGATATTGAGAAGCAAAATGACTTAAACAGGTAAAAACAATTCTCAAAATGAAGTTCATCATAAACAAGAATAGACTTCTGTTTTGTTCTAAAACAAGCTTTCATTCCTCATTGACAGATATTCTTGTTTTAAGCATAAACTCACTTCATTTTGTTCGGTTTCTTTGAAAACAAGACTTTATATATTCATTTTGGATCTCCAGAAAATACATCTTAATTTATGGATGTTTAAATATTGGAAAACAACACAAAAGATACTGGGAAAAATATTCATGTTTTGCGGTGCATGCAACATTTAATGCCATGACCTCATGAATTTAAGACTTTCTGCTCCAGTTTGAGATTGTTACAGGGGTTAAAGCAAAAGAGCCTGAACTTTTTTCCGAGGGTGCCCCCCGCAGCACAGGGATGAGGCAGCACATGCAAAGCATGCAATAACTGTGGCAACTTTAACATTTGAAAAGAGGCTATGACAAAGTTATCGCTTTCATTATTCAAACTGATTTTTTTTTCATGAATATATGATTGACCTGAAGAATGAAAGCTATATCATACACTTGAAAAATTATGAGCTATATCACCGCTTATCGACACTAGGGGTGTGACAACACACTTAGCTCACGAGATGAGACAAAATACAGATACTTGGTTCACTAGAACGAGACAATATCTTAATACTATTTTGAAGAAATTTTCAAATGACAAAATATTTGTCTTTTAATTACAAAAAGTAAAACAATGCAGTTGTATTTTGAAATATTTTAACTAATCTAGGGCTGTAACTAATGATTATTTTGGTAATCAAGTAATCTACTGATTATTTTGACAACTGAGTAATCTGATATTTTTAGTAACAAACAGACCCAAGTGAAAACCAGGCTTTAGTATGACTATTTATATATAAACTAACGATGAGGCAATAATAATTGGCTCAAATAAAGTATCAAAACCAAGTAATTAAATGGTTTTATTGAACAACACTGTTAAAATACATAATGTAATATGCCTATACATAATATGAACATAACCTTAAGTACACTATGTGTTATAACAAACACCCGCAGAGGGCGCCAGCAGCCCGGTGACGTTTCACTTTACAGCGTGATTAAACAATGTTTAAATCCATTTAATTTGAATATTTGGCAATATGCAAACTCAGAAACATTTATTTTTAAATTGCGATGTACAATACATGGCATATTTAGAAATAGGTTGATGTATTCTCCTGTGTTGGCAAAGGTTTATAAATTATTTACGTTACAAATCTAGTGAGATAATGCACACTGTTTTCCCAGATGAACGTTAAGCAATTCAAATTCACAGCAAATACAGAGGAAGAGTTTAGCCTTTAGTCTTTACTGGTAAGAGATAGAGATCATGTGTGAACAGGACCTTTTCAAAGATGACGTGATTACTCTGAGCGGAGATCCGGCACGGTGCCGGAGAACTTTAAGCTCTGTTGTTATGACATCACTTTATTAAACGTAAAGAAACTCTAAATTATCTACAAGAAATGATCATGATACCTCCATGACATAAGAGATGTACTCAATAACGGTTCCTCCACTACAAGGCTTCTTCAGAAGAACTTTATCACCTACAGGAGGGAAAAAACAACACAAACACCATCAATTCTCTCACAAAAAGATGCACAATTATTTTCTCTTTTCCTTTTTATGGATCACCAATGTTAACAGCTGTTCCTCCTTTAAAGGAATAGTTTGTGCAAAAATTTTTTTTTCTCCTCATGTTATTCTCACCCAGTATTATTTTTTACTATCAGTGATTAAGTTGTATTTCTGTTTCAGTATTTGTCATGCTACTTTTTTGGGTGAACTACTCTTTTAATATTTTTTGTTTTGTAAATGCATATACATTAAATAGTAAAGATGTAGATAGGGTTGGGTATCAATTATTGGCATTTTAACAAAAAACACAGGAGTTATTTATTGGCCAAGTGTGCATAACATACAAGGAATTTTTCTGAGGCATCCCACACATTTAAAAAAAAATAAAAAATACCACAGCAAAAACAACTCGACTAATATGAATTTCAAACATTAAATTATTAAAGACAAGCAAACAGTCAGTAATAAACTAGGAAAAAACTAATTAATTAGCAACAGCATAAATAAATACAACTGAACTAATTTCAGGTACAGAAATTGAAATCAAGAGTTTAAAAACACTAAAATAAAATATAGATTAAACCTCATTGAAGGTCAGTAAATTATTTTCTTTTGTTCTTTGATTAACATTAATGACAGGCAGCACATGTTTATTGGGCTGCTGTCTCTTTAACACCGAACGCACACAGATCTAAATTAAGCAATAAGCCCCAAGAAGCCGTGGTTTACAGTGAATTTATAACAGCTAAGGGGCGTTGTTAGGCATGACGCAAAGCAGAGTTATTGCTTTTATAAAACGGTTATTCCATATACGTAGTAAGGTTTCACAAAATAAAACAGAGCAAATAAAGTGTAATGATATTAATAAAAACAGTATTCTTCCACCAAACAATGTAGCTCCTCAGAAACAGTTGTGGTTGCTACAAAGTGGTTGCCGAGCAACAGACAAACATAAACAAAGGTGTATGTTACTTTGTAGAGTAATTTATAACAGCTTCGACTGCGGCTCAGCCAATCAGAATCAAGGACCGGAACTCTCCGTTTTATAAAATACTGTACACGTGCGTTTTCTTTCTCATCCGTTTACTTAGAATAAAAACCGCTGTGTTTATGATGATATACTGATGCATTTTCATGCATACTGGTCGGTAAATGTGAAAGAGAAGTGGAAATGCATGGAACGGTTCGAGAACGGACACAAACCGGGAATCCGCACCAGGACCGCTGTTCTGTGCGCTGCACGCAAACAGTGCGCAAGTTAATCCCCTTCCTCATTTAAAATCACATTAAAATGCGAACGCAGGAATCATTAAGCGGAATCTAAATGCACGTGTTTTATCGAATACTGGGTTCTTGGAAATCTGGAACCAGTTCACAAATGGAACAGGTTCTCGATACCCAACCCTAGATTATAAGAGAGCGTCCTGACCGATGAAGAGGCTCGGCCGGCCCTCGGCAAGGCCTGGCACCTCCAGGTGCAGATACACGGCTCCTTTCCTGAGGATGGCGCCGGTGAGACTGAACTCTCGGATCTCCCTCTCGGCCTGCAGCTCCTCCAGCCACAGCAGAGCCGAGAAACGCGGCAGCATCCACGACAGGCTCAAGGGCTGCGGAAACACACACCACAACAGCTTTTATTAAAAGGTGATGCATGTCAGTTAATGCATTCAACCAATCCTGTGAGTTTTGTGGTTTTGAGAAAGAAAAGAAAAAAGAAAAAAAAAAGTGGAACGGGGAAAAAAAAAACGCACGCTTTTTTTCCCCGCCAACGATTTTGAGGATTTTCACAAAAATTTGATGGCCTCCAGTATATTTTGCTGTATGAATATTTAAATATGCAATACACCAAAATAAAGATCAGAGCCTCTACTTTTAAACAAAAAAATCCGTTTTATTCTAGCTTAAAGCATTCTTTTTTTTAATCAACACTTGAATATAGGTAGGTTTCATAAAAATGCATACTTTTGAGCAAAAAGGTGAGAAAATCTCATTTTTATCAAAAACTACATCTGGATAATATTCAGTACGGCTTTCAAAGCATAACTCCAGTAAATCGCTTCCATCAACACCTCCAAAGCTTGCACAGACATATACCACATCCTGGATCAACATTTTACTCCGTAACATTATGCAGTTTTCATTTATATGCTGTCTGTTTCTGATAATCGCATTATTTTTCATATGCATCTGTTTATATAAGAGATGGCTTGTTTCTCCGTCCTGTTCACGTGTGTTTTTGTTCGGGAGGCTTAGTACTCGTTCAGAAGATGAGTAATAGCGCCCCCGAGTGTATAACAGTGAAAACACGAAAAGCCGTAAAAACTCGTCTTTGGCGGGGAAGCGTTTTCTTCTAAAAAGACGAGATAACTCGTCAATGGCGGGGAAAGAGTTAACTTGAGCTCTGTGTTTTTAGATGCCGTTTCATGCACGATGCTGCAAAAGACGCAATATGCAATCGCAATGGTATTGGGTCAATGATGTATTGACAGATTTTCGACAGGCCAATTTTAAAATACAAAAGCATAATATCAATTGTAATTGTTCAAACAGTAAGAATGCTGGGTACACAAATTCATATTAAAATTTTAAATTAAGTGGTTTTAGTGCTTTTTCATCTACATGAATTAGCCATAGCACTCGGGAGTGGTCGCGCCACACGATATTTGGTCGCGCCACACGATATTTTCAAATTCAGTCAAAATGTACAGGCACAGAATTGGCCACCTGAACAAAACAAGCCAGCTTCCCACAAAATGTCACTATGAAATTTATAATAAAAATAAATACTTAATATTCATTGTTTTTTTGAGGTCATACCACATGATATCCAAATGTGTTAACTACATACCTGCCATTAAAAAGGTTCTTTTTTTTCCCAAATTTGAAAGAGTTACAAACCTGCTTGATGCTTTCATGGGTCCTTGGCAAATTGGTATATAATGCAACATCCTATCTTTGAATGGATTTCAACATAAAAGTCCCAAAGTGGTAGTTTCTTGATGGTTGCACCACATGACATTTCATAAAATGGACATCATCGGACAGTGTTTGTTTGTATATTACGATGGAAATACAAAACACTTTGGAAATCGTGCGAAATAGAAAATTAATCTGAATAAATTTAGGGTGATTTCAAAGATGTTTCCAAAACAGCAGTTATGGCCAGACGGTCACACCACATGATATTTTGACACTTTAAATAAGAGAAACATTACAAATAAATGTTTTTTTGAAAAGTTAAAGTGAGTAGATACATGGGAGAGGTACTTCATATATATGGTATCTTTTTTTATGCATTTAAACCAATTTTTTACTGACAAAATGCAATCAGACAGAAAATTTAGGCATCACGTCATTGCCCCATTTGTATTATAATCACAAATCAAGAAAAATGAAAACGGACAACAGAATTTATAAACAACATATTTCAAAGGGTCCCATTATAAGTAAAAAGTTTATAAATGCTTCAATTGTTTTAATAATTAAGTTTTATTAATCCAATTTATTATTAATGCTTTTTGATTATTAAAGTTCAATTAAATCATAAAAAATAAACAAAAACTTGGAAAAATAAAACTGATTTCCAATTACATTTTTGTTACACATTTCATTTTGAAACACGTTTGAAATTACATTTCATGATTTAAATTAATTAGACATGCATTCAGATTACTGAAATTTAATTTAAAGTGCCCCTATTATGGGTAATGAAAGTTCATATTTTGGTTTTGGGAGTCCCCAACAACAGGTTGACATGCATGCAAGGTCAAAAAACACTTTCATTGTTTTGTAATGTGCATTTATTTTTAACCTTATTTGCGGAACGTCTCCCAAACGATTCGCTCAATGATTCATTTTTCCAAACCCCTCCTTTGCGTGATGCTAATCTGCGGTGATTGGTCCGACTGGATCATGCCTAATAAAGCAGCGTTTGTGAGCGCAGTGCTGCTTTGTGTACAGCGTTACCAGGGAAACAGCGATTTTACTGCTCTAAAAGCGGCACCTAGTGGCAAAGAATGAATTTGCATTTCAAGTTTTCCCGGGTCTGCGCGCACAACAAGTGGGCGGGCAATATGCTAATGTTTCATGATGACGTCAGGCTTGGGAGTCGTTTTAAAAAAACACTCGTTTCAATGATTCAGAGTCGACTCTTTCTTTTGAGAGACAATAACTTTACACACGGTGCACTTTCAGATTTAAAACTTTGCAGGATGTTTTCATTCACTTAGAGCTGTGTTACACACTGCATGAAAGGTCATTTTCAAAAATCCATAATAGGGGCACTTTAACCATTAAACGGAACCCAGAAAAGTCAAAACTGAGTTTGTGAGAAAATCAAACTGATTTCATCCCTACAGTGAGCGTCATGAATCCGCATGTGTGAGACGCAGCAGAGCAGCGCATTACCTCCGCCAGAGCCGGCTGTGCGATCAGAACGTCCTTCTGACCTTCCACGCAATCTCTGAGAGCCTGAGGCACGCCGTAGTTCCCCAAGAAGTTTGGAAGATGCCGCCGTGCAAGTCTGTCAAAAACCAGTGACGAGACCATTACAGCACAGATTTCACAAGACATCTGTCAATGACACTCAGGATCCGTCGCGCTTACTTTCATCTTTAGCATTAGATCTTTCTCTGTCTTTGAACAAAACCAATGCTAGAGGATGGTGGATTCATTCTTATTCTCACAACAGTTAAAGAACACTGACAAACTCGCTTACATTTAGGGTTGCAAAGGGGTGGAAAATTTCCGGAAACTCTCCAAAAATCCCTGGAATATTCCAAAAAAATCCTAGAATGTTTCCTAAATTTACTGGAAATTTTCCACCTTTTAGCAATCCTACTTATATTACACTTTTACATTTTTTAATAAAAGCTTGAAGTATGGAACCGCATATGACATGACAAAAATATAGTTATTGTGGCCATCAATTAAAAATGAATTCTCAAAACTTAATTCATTCCCTTGTTTTATTAAACTGTGGCCATGTTATAATGTTATTCTTTCATTTCTATTTAATTAAAATGAGGCTACAATGTGGCCATAAACATGAATTTCCTAATTTGTGGCCACAATAAATATATTTTTGTCTGCATCTCATGAATGAAAGACACAAAGTACGTTCAGAGGGATGCACACTTGCAATGCACTGGTGTTGAAAATACTAGGGATGCACCGATAGGATTTTTTGGGCCGATACAGATATTAACAAACAACTATTGGCCGATTCCGATACCAATACCGATATTAGTCAATTGCATAAAGCAGGGCTTTAAAAATATAGAAAATAATAAAAAAATTGGTAGCAAGGATGTGTTAAATTGATAAAAAGTGATAGTTAAGACTTGTATTGTTAGAAAAGATTTCTGTTTTGAATAAATGCTGTTCTTTTTAACTTTTTATTCATCAAAGTCTTGAAAAAAAGATCACCAAAAAAAAAAAATTCCAACATTGACAGTAAATAAGCATATTGATAATAAATCGGTATGATTTCTGAAGATCATGTGACACTGAAGACTGGAGTAATGATGCTGAAAATACAGCTGCGCATCACAGAAATACATTAAATTCTTTACGTTTTTTTTTTTTTATAGAAAACTGTTGTTTTAAATTGTAATAATATAACTTTTTCTCTATTTTTGATCAAATAAATGCAGCCTTAAGCAAAAGATACTTCTTTAAAAACGTATCAAATCCCGGAGTATAATGAGTGAATAGCCCTCACCTGGCCTGACAGCAGACGGTCACAGACGCTCTCTCCCCGGGCTTCATCTCCAGCATCTGCACCGAGTCTTCATCAACTGGGCCTCCTGCAGGCGTGCTGTTCTTCACAGACACAGATCTGAGGCAGAACTGCTGAGCCGAGTCCCATCCGGCAAACTCACAGCATTTCAGCCGCTGGCGCTCAGAGCCGCTGTTTCTGAGTCGAGCAACACAGAATGAGAGAGAAGCAACAGATGCATCAGGAGCCAGCAAACATTTACAGCTTCAGGGCCCTAGGCATCCCGTGATGCGGAAAACACGGACGGAATCCAGTCATAAAAATGGAATTTACTGTATAAGCGTTAGGGTTAGGAATGTCACGGAATTTGTCAAACTTTGAATGAATTAATTAGAAGTAGGTCATTACACTAGGGCTGGGAAAATAAACCGATGCATCGTGAATTGAGAAATGATTCCGCATCCATTCTGAGATTTTCCGAATGCATCACGATTCTCTCTTGAATCGATTCTGAGCTTGGTTTTGAACAGCAGATGGCGCTGCATGCTTTAGAAACAGCCGTACTCTGCTCGTTTTCAAATCCTTACACACACTTGAACCTAAAATAATCATTCATAAAATTCGAAAAGGTTGAAGCGAATTATAAAAAGTGTTCGATTCTGCATCGATTTATCGTCCCAGCCCTACATTACACGATTGTTGTGTTTATAATGTTGTAAACATTTAGCTTTATTCACCTATATTTTAGCCTGCATTATTTTTGAATGCAATGATAAAATGCGCCGTCTACAGCCTGCTGTTTTTTTTTTATCTCAAAACACAATTTTATGTGAGTAGGCCTAGCGGTTTATTAACCAAGCAGCAAACATTTTTAAATATCTTGAAAAAATACTTTAATGTCTTTAAAGCGTTGACAGTTTTTTCTTTTGTTTAATAGGCCAACATTTGACCGAGATCTAGAAAAGATAATGGCTATGATTGGTTGTGACTAACGCAAGATAGGCTACCAGATCTAGACTCTCTTCATGTTTTTTTCTTTTTGAGCAAAGAAAACGCATACTATTAACAAACTCCATCTGTTCACTGCAGAGAAAGCTGCATCTGAAGTGGCATTAGATGCATTTACACACACTGTTTGATGAAGCGGAGCTGCCATAAATGCATTTACACCACAAAATTCCAAATGCATAAATAATTTTATAAGATTCATGTTTTAAATATTTTTGTTAAAATGTTGGGAAAAATGCAATACTTTTAAATATGAAACCAAACCACCAGTAGATGACGGTAAATGACTTGTCTGTCTTTATGAAAAGGTTACTGAATCATTGACTCACTTGATTCGTTCAAAAACATGGATTCATTCAGTACCGAAACACTGCTGTGTTGCTCAGAGGCACAAAACAGTTCTGCTGTGGCTTTGATTGAAACTTCGTCAGCGAACTTGAGCAAAAACAATCAATATTGTATTACTAATTGCGAACTTAGGTATGATGATGATGGTCACAGACACACACTTTTTTAGCTTCGGACTTCCGGTAGGAGGAGATCAAACAGGTTTGATACTTTCAGACGATTTTAAAACACATTGTTTTCATTTGTCACGCGTCTCCTAGCAACAGTACGCATTGTTTCTGTGTGAGTCTGTTGTGATCGGAACAACTTTAAAGTCTGCTAGTACACCATTTACAAAGTCGGTAAGTGTATGATGCCTAGGGTTTTAAAAATCGGTTTAGATTTGAAAAGCTACGCAGTGTATTCCAGACTTAAGGTGTGCATGTGTGAACTCACTGGATCCAGATCTGCAGCTCCTTGCGGTTTCCCAGTAATAGACACCCAAATTGGTTTTCCCGGCTGACCTGGAGCCCACCCTTATTCTCCAGCAATCTCTGCACCTCATCGTCTGGCATATTCAGCTCCGAGGCGTTTCCACTGTCAGAAACACACACGGAGAAACACCACAAATACTGTAAACACTGACAGTGCAAGCAGTCACTTATAAAGTTGCCTCGACCGATACGGCAAACGCAATAGTTTACCGTTCTCATTGTAAATCAGTCCGTCCATGTAGAATAAGTCAGATTTTATTAAGGCTATCAAATTAAAACTCTTATTTTAAATATGCAACAAACCCATCAAGATGTTTTTAACTTCCATAATCCATAATAATGCTTCCTCCAGTGAAAAAGTGCGTCTCCTGTTGTCTCTCACATCAAAATCCACACACATATGTGACCCTGGAGCACAAAAGCAGTCTTAAGTCGCTGGGGTATATTTGTAGCAATAGCCAACAATACATTGTATGGGTCACATTTTTCTTTTATGCCAAAAATCATTAGGATATTAAGTAAAGATCATGAAGATATTTTGTAAATGTCCTACTGTAAATATATCAAAACTTAATATTTGATTAGTAATGTGCATTGCTAAGAACTTCATTTGAACAACTTTAAAGGTGATTTTCTCAATATTTAGATTTTTTTGCACCCTCAGATTCCAGATTTTCAAATAGTTGTATCTCAGCCAAATATTGTCCTATCATAACAAACCATACATCAATGGAAAGCTTATTTCTGCCAAATATTGTCCTATCCTAACAAACCATACATCAATGGAAATTTAGCTGTATAAATCAATGGAGATTTATACATCAGCTTTCAGATGATGTATAAATCTCAATTTTGAAAAACTGACCCTTATGACTGGTTTTGTGCTCCAGGGTCACATATTTGTTTAGAGCTGTTTAAACGGTGCTTGATCTGTGCAGATTTCTCCAAAACTGCAATTTCTCACACACAATTTTTTTTTTTTTTTTACATCTTGTTGCAACATTTTACAAAGATCAAGATTTAATTTATTTGGTCAAAAACCCATGTTATATAAGATGAAGTGCTATGCAGGCCATTTAAGACAATATTGGCTCATGCTGACCTAAAATGCAAAAAGTTTGCCCTCTCTCTCTCTTCAGCATTCCCACATCTCAGACCTCAAATACATAAAATATTACCCTTTTTAGACATAGTTTTTGAAGTAGAGTAAAGAAAATACTATACAAAACTTATTGAAACAACCAGGGGCTAGTCGCATAAACTTAGGCACCATGTTAGGACCGTGTCTTTAGAACTAGTTCGCCAAGTGGTTATCAGTCTTATGCTTCCAATACAACTAAGACCAATCTACCTATTCATAACTGAATTCAAAAAGTTATGACCAGTCTTGAAGAAAAAACTAATCATGAAAAGCCCCTCATAAAAACACTTTCTCATTGGATCCAAGGAAATCTCATAGGTGACCTATTTTAATCTGAAAAAAGTGAGTTGTCACTGAAAGGTGAGGAGTTTGCATCTATGGTTATTATGGACTCGTGTTTTAGTTAAAAACATCTTAATGCTGGATTAGTTTCAGCTTTTGTCTTCTCCAGATGTTAACTGATGGACTGGAGTGCTGTGGATTACTTGTGATGTTTTTATCAGCTCTCGTTCCGACGGCACCCATTCACTGCAGAGACACTGATGCAATGCTACATTCCTCCAGATCTGTTCTTACACAGTAACTGAGTATCACCTGTGCTGGATGGGCGTCATACACAGAGCTCTCCAGCTGTACAGCGACTGACTGCTCTCCACCACCACCACATTCACCACGTCACCCCGAGCGGGTCTGAAGCCCGGCGGCACGATCAGAGAGTCCAGACTGAAGAACACGCTGTCCTCCACAACACCGCTGCGGCCGTGCAGGACGCTCACGCTCACCTGACACACACAGCACACTTTACAGCCACTGGTCATTTAGGAAAGAGCTAGGGCTGGCCCATATGGCCAAAAAACTATCACCATGGTTCTTTTTTTCACATCAGTCCATATCGATAACGGTCACGATAAAGGTCACATTTTTATTTCTTCCAAGCTTAAAGGCTGATTTTTGCTCCGATGTGAAAGTTGCAAAAACCAGACGGTTAATTGTGGTTTTAAACTATTCTTTATGATCAGAACACGACAAACGCTTCACGTTTTTTAATTCTTTACACTTTTCCAGTCATTTTTCCTTAAAATAAGTATCTTAATAAAAGAAAATAATTTCTTAGTTCTGTATGTTCTAATGAGTGTTATAAAGCGGAGAGTTCCGGTGCTTGATTCTGATTGGTTGAGCCACGTTCGAAGCTGTTGTAAATGACTCTACAAAGTAACATACACCTTTGTTTACGTTTGTGTGTTGCTCGGCAACCACTTTGTAGCAACCACAACTGTTTCTGAGGAGCTACATTGTTTGGTGGAAGAATACTGTTTTTATTAATATCATTACACTTTATTTGCTCTGTTTTATTTTGTGAAACCTTACTACGTATATGGAATAACCGTTTTATAAAAGCAATAACTCCGCTTCGCGTCGTACCTAACAACGCCCCTTAGCTGTTATAAATTCACTGTAAACCACGGCTTCTTGGGGCTTATTGCTTTAATATTATTTCAAATCACGAAACGGGTTTGTGTTGCCTGATAACATTAATAATAATAATATACCATTCTCTTAGAAATACACATCTGATAGTAGCTTGAGTTAGGATGCAGATGTAGATTTATGTTCATTATCAAAATCAGTAATATCTGTAAAAATTGTAGCAACCTCACTTTTATATGGTGAACTTTAATCATTCTGACTGTTTGAGGGTTTTTTTTTTTAATTAACCATTGGTCTTCCCATAGTAGCATACATTTAGATCATGATAATCACAGTTAAGAGCACAAATATAGCATGCCAATACCATGGTAAAAATGTAATAGAGAAAGTTGCTAAAGGAAGGTCGATTTGTTGCTAAAAGTTGCTAAATGATGTTGTGATGTCACTGCGTAATCACGACGCAAAATTGTCACAGCATCAAATCTCAGCAAAAAATATATTTTATATATGTTAATTTAGATTTGTTTGTAAAATATGCATAATATAATATTAAAATAGAAATAACCGTTTTTTTTAAATACATTGAATTATTGAACACTTACGCATTTTTGAATGATTACAATTAAATTTTTTTCTAATAGCTAGTAGACTAGTAATACTACACATTCTCAAAAATTATGCTTTAAGCAGTGTATTAGTAGTTAGTTAGTATGCTACACTCTAAGAAGAGTCTGTAAAAATAGGGCACAATCTACTATGTCAATATTAAAAAATGTTCCTAATTGTTTTTTTACCTGCGTTTTTACTTTCGCATTGTTTTCGGGGTTACAACGGATAATGTCCTGGAAAATTACTAGTATCTTTTCCATTTTTCTTTCAGTGTACTAATTGATCAACAATCGCAGATACAAGCTACTAACAAAGTGCATCATAAATTAACAATTATTAAATCATTATTATTAAATTGAACAATTGCATATAGCAGTATATAACTTAATTCACAATGTGTGTACTGCTAAGCATCTTTGGTTTACTCTTTTTGTGTGATTTGGATGGAAAACGTGTGCCTTTTTATTGTCCGAGTCACTTATCAAAAGTTGCTCAAAGTTGGCAAATAAATGTTAAAAATAGACAAATTTGTTGCTAGGTGCTTTTGGAAGTAAACGTAGCTAGGGTAGTATGAAAAGTTGCTAAATTTAGCAACAAAGTTGCTAAGTTGGCAACACTGCTCTTTCGTTCCGCCTTTGCCTCGAACATTTTATCGAACTCTTGTTATCGTATATCGAGGAAATTTATACCGCGCAAAAAATATCATTATCGATTTATCGGCCAGCCCTAGAAGAGGTCTGATTTAGACTGATTGGCACAGGTCAGGACATCAGTGAGAGCTGATGGTGACTGACCCCATCCATGCGCCGGTATCGCAGAGGAGAAACCGCTCGAGCCTGACTGCTCCATTCAGACGGACAGACGAAATACTGCGCCAGAACCCAGTCGCCCTTCACCGGCTCGAACCCTGAAACACACACACTCTGTTAAACACAGCACACAGCTTGCTCACCTTGTAAAAGGTCTGTGTCATATATTTCATATAGTTTTTCCGGTTACATAAAATAGCATCATGCAAAGTCAGAAAAGCCCCAAAATTAAAAAAAAAAAAGCCCCAAAACTCAATATATGAATTGCCCCTGTGTGCATTTGTTTTTTGTGCTTATAATAACATAATATAGTTAAGAAATATCACATGAGTGCTAATTTTCAGAATATTTTTCGAATATACATTGCACGTGATTTTATACACCAGTTCAATTAACAATTAGGTTAATTATATTAATTGACAACTTTTAAGTGTTCTATTTCAGCAACAAAAATAGTTTCAAACGGCAGAACGGTTGCATTTGCCAGCAACCAAGAATGCGATTTTGTTTTTGAATGATTCAGTGTTTTTGATTGAATCGGGTGAGTCGATGATTCAATGACTCATTCATAAAGACAGCGGTCACTTGCTTGTTCACGATTATGAATGAATTAGTTTAAACAAATCAGTTGAATTAATGATTCTTTGATTCACTTCTGGCTTGCTGGTGGGTAATATATAATATTATCATTTCATTTTTCTATAGTCACAAAATTATATTTAAAACGATTAATCTTATTACATTATTTATGCATATATATATTTATTGCATATATTATAATATGCATATTTGTGCATATTCATTTGCCGTGTGAATGCATTTTGATAAATGGTAAGATGGATTATGTTGATACTGATTTAATTTGATTGGTAACAGTGTTAATCAGTGCAAGTAATTAAAAGATGTTGAACAACCTTGTTTTTAGAGAGTGAATAGCAATTTTTTGTCTGTTCATCACAGCAGGTGATTACGTCTGTATGGATCACATTTATGTCCCTTTTGGAGCTTGAATCCGTTGGACCTCATTGACTATAACTGACAAAAAAAGCTACTACAAATATGTTCTTTTGTGTTACAGAAGAAAGAAATTCCTACGAGTTTGGGCACGAGTGCGTCATTGACACGGGCCGTTGTGTTCACATGCAGTTATCTCTGTCATGACACAAAGTTGCAGCATCAGTCCAGTAATTTAAATACGTTACATACTCTTTTCAGACTGGGGAGGATGTACAGTGTGTTTTCACTGTGCAATGAACTGCAAGACTAATGCATGACAAGAGCTCTTTTAATATATTCATACACTGAGATTGAAACATCATCCTATCACAGCAGACTGCGGAGCATTAAAGCCACTGATTCTGACCTTCGCAGAGAGCCGATCGCGGGAAATACGTCGTCTGGTTGATGTAGCCTCCGTCTCGATCACATGACGTCACTGTTCCAATCAGAGGCCTGAGTTTGTCAGTGTCCAGTGCGAGCGCCTCTGATCCGCCGCTCTCCCAGGCGTCCTTGTGCCGCTCCACCTGAAAACAACAGAAAAACATCACTGAAATGTACTCAGAAACAAGACAGACACACATAATATTAGTGCTTTTGAGATTAAATTAATGAGCTGTTTTGCCTTGGCATGTCATTTGCAAATCGCGTAATTTGCTATACAGTTCCTTTTAAACTCTGCTTATTTCTTTTGATAAATAATTTGCAAGCTTTATGGTGATTAAAATATTATCTACCTGCACAAACATGCACAGTGTCAATATATTTAGTAACTTGCAAACAATATTCACCCCAAAATTATACCCCATTTATTTCGATTAAAAAAAAAACATTTTATACTATTTTTCAATGAATGCAGTATAGAAATCAAAAAAAAAAAAAAAAAAAAAAAAAAAAAAAAAAAAAAAAAAAAAAAAAAGAGCAAATGCATTTAAAAACCAATAAAGAGAGGTATATTTATGTTAAGAAATAAACAGAATCAAATCTAACACCATGTCAGTATAGCCATATTTGCGCATAAACAGGATTGTGCAATCCCTAGTTGCTTAGAGAACTGTGTTTTCAGACATAATTACCTACTTTTATTAGTTTGTGTATTTGTATATATTTAGACCTTGTCAAAGACTACGTCTGTCAAAGTTTTTTTGTTGGTTTGTTCGTTTAAAATGTTAAACAACAGTCTTCTTCTGGCTCAACGGTCTCAAACAGCCTTTGAGCTCATCTTTTTTCACAGATATGTTATCAAAGCCCTTCAAATGAATATAAAGATGGTAACTGTTAATGTTGAGTTATATATGTTAGCTGACACTGTGTAAAAAAATAGTTTGCTGTTTTTGAACAAACCAACCAGAAAGTATATAGAAACTGTTAAAAAGTGCTTGAAATAGTTGGACACTGACGTTGAATGTGTAATGCATGTTATTGTTCTGATGTTAGTCAGTTCAGTTGCATAGTCTGTTTGCAAAAGTGTTCTTTATATCTTTCTGTTTTATTGTTTTAAACACAAACAGCCAATTAAAGGGATAGTTCACCCAAAAATGAAAATTACGCCATTAATCACTCACCCTCATGTCGTTCCAAACCCGTAAGACCTTCGTTCATCTTCGCAACACAAAATAAGATATTTCTGATGATATTGTTGTTTTCTTTGCGCACAAAAAGTATTCTCGTTTAGCTTTTACGGTTGAAACCCTGATGCAACATGAACTATTTTAACCAATGTCCTAACTACTTTTCTAGACCTGTGACCATTTTAGTTGCGCTGCTGTCTGTGCAGGGTCAGAGAGCTCTCGGATTTCACCAAAAATATCTTAATTTGTGTTCCGAAGGTGAACGAAGGTCTTACGGGTTTGGAACGACATAAGGGTGAGTACTTAATGACTGAATTTTCATTTTTGGTTGAACTATCCCTTTAAGAGCAAGAAGAGTTAAGACAAAAAGTATTACACTGTAGTGTCTTCTGTTACTGAGAAAATGTGACGAAGCGTTCACTCGTGTCTAATGATCTTGAGCACAACAGCAGGTGATTTTTGGCTATTATTGATGATTTTTGGAGCCTGTTCTCACCCGGAGCGCCCTCCACTGTCCGTGGGCTCCTTCCCGCACCGCCAGAGCCTGCACCGAGTCTCCCACACACAGCACGACTCCTCCTAGCACCACTCCCGATGTGAAGTACACGCTGTGATCGATCAGGCCGTAATCCGCACACAGATGCGTCACCACACCTGTCCACACCTGCCGGATCTGCGCCGCACCTGCACACACAGCACAGCGCTCAGCCTCACCTGGACACACGCAGGTGCCTTCAAGTATTTACGAGTTACACGCACATGAACGCCACCACAAACTCGTTATTACGAGTGGGAAACTCGAACTTTTCTTTAAGCCCAGAGTTTCAGAGTTGGGGGCGTCAGTGAAAAAACACATCGGATGCAATGGAGCAGCCAAAGACTATAGATATGCTGCGTCTGTTCTGATGGTAAATTTGTTGAAATTAATAAAATGATCGTTTTTTGTAATGTACAATAAAACTAAGTTTTACATATACAACATATTATTGTTAGTGCTGTCAATCGATTAATCGAATCTAAAGTAAAAGTTTTTGTTTACATAATATATGTATGTGTGCTGTTTATGTTTATTATGTGTGTAATTAAAGGGCACCTATTATGCAAAATAGGGGTCGATCTCAATAAACCATGAACCAGTCTAAAATATGTTGTTTTTTTACCTGATCTTTTTATATAGTTGACACATTTGTATAATGAAAATTAATAGTTGGAGTTAATAGTCTCTTATGGCCTGATTAACCATAAACAAAACAAGCCCTACAAAATGAAATAAACACATTATACAGACACTTCATATTCATTAGATGATTTGTTAATTGCATTTAATTAGTGCTGTCAAACGATTAATCGCGATTAATCACATCCAAAATAACAGTTTTTGTTTACATATATATATATATATATATATATATACACACATGCATGTATATATTTCAGAAAAATGTTTATATATTAAATAAATTAGTGCTGTCAAATGATTGTGATTAATCGCATCCAAAATAAAAGTTTTGTGTACATAATGTGTGTGTACGGTGTATATTTATTTATATATAAATACACACACAATATTATATATAAATATATTTAATATATAAATGTAACATTTTTCTGAAATACATGCATGCATGTGTGTGTATTATATACTTAATAAATATACACAGTACATACACACACTATGTAAACAAAAACCTTTATTTTGGACGCGGTTAATCGCGATTAATCGTTTGACAGCACTAACTATGTTTTACATATACAAAAAAATGGTATAATTACCATAGAATATATAATGATTCAGTTTACAAATTGAATAAAAACAGAAAAAAGCAAAAACAGAATGATGCACATTCTTTGTTCATCATTTTGTAGATGTAGAGTTTTAAAAATCGTTGAATTTTATGTAGAAAAGTTAAATCGGCATCTTGTTCTGACCAAAGCGACTTAAACGCATCTGACTTCGTAATAATAACTTGCCAACTCGTAAGTACGAATGTCCCTGGAGGACTTTTTTTTAATTATTATTATTATTAATGCCAAAGTACCAAAGATAGACGTACAGAAAATATCAACATTACGTACAAAACGGTGACATTACATGCAAAGCACCGTTTACACATGTATATAACAATATATAAATAATACAAAATGAAAGCTTTAACAAAATAAATTAAAAAGATGAAATAAATGAACTGTTTTAACAGCTTTAAGATTAAATCGTTTGGATATATTGTTGAATCTCTTTTAAAAAAATAATAAATAAAGGATTTTAATGAGTGAATTTACTGCGGTGAATATGACATTTTGCAAGAAGTAATAATAGGTTCATAATAAAATATAAATTGATTGCCAAACAGTACATCCTTTAAAAAAAAAAAAAAAAAAAAAAAAGAGCACATTGCGATTGATAACATTAAATAATCCGATCCAAAATAGCTGTTTGAGGACAATCCAGTTTCATTAGTGTCTGTGTTCAATCCGTGTCTGATGTATACCTTTTTAATCTGTAGCGATTTGAATGAGATTTCTCTAAGTTTAGTTAGTTAGTATATACTTTAATGCAAAGTCCATACTTTTTTCCAATGAATATGATCGAGCAAATCGTTGAAGGAGTTTATGAGTCACGTGTGACGCACTGACCGTCGAAGCACGGATCCTCTGGCCGCTCATCGAGCTCCTGCGCCCGGCGCCACAGCGGCGACAGCAGCCGCGACATCAAGCCCTGCACCACGCTCACCATCACTGCTGTCTGCGACACACAGCCCCACACACCGGCAATCAGCGCCAGGTGAACCACTCACCTGTCCTGTCCTGACACCAGAGCACGTGTGACGTGAGACGTGGAGACGCTTGATAACGCTAACGCGATCAACACGTGACGATCAAAAAAAAAAAAAAAATTTATTATTATGCCATACATCAGAACAATACAACGAGAAACATTCAAATGTAAAGGAAAAATAGAGCAAGATGAACAACATTAATATAATGAAACAGTGCCAGAGGACAGTAACAAAATAAGTAAATAAATAAATAATAAAAAAAAAAAAATTGGGGCGTCACTTTACACAATAGCAAACCTGCTTACAATATTATGAGTTCTAATAGCCTTTTTACTTGTGCACCTTACATAGGACCTTACAATACAGCTTGAAATCGTTTAGAAAATGAGAAAAGTTTGACCACTTCATTTTATGAATATGAAACTTCCCCATTAAAAATTAAGAATTGTATGAAATATGCTTTATCTTTGTCAAATCCATGATCACTGAAGTATATTATTACATCAGTGACGATCAAAATAAAGTCTTGCTACACGCTACTGCATCTACGTAACAATAAAACAATACATTTCAAATAAACATCAAAGGCTATGTATTAGCTATATTAAATTTCCCATTTCAGTTCAATATATTTGTATCAAGTCTGAAAAAAAGTGAATTGAAGCCAAAACATTTCTATCGCCCCCTGGTGTCTGGCTGCAGCATGGGCCATAAACCCCGCCCTCTCCGTGTAAACCAGTGGATGCGAGCCGAACTAATCAAACTACACTTCAAATAACATGTTCCCAAAGATTCTTTCTATCATTTTAGCTAGTTCTTATCACGCTGATACGTTCAAGCATTTGTTTTTCTAATAAGTTTGGCTTTAGCTAGTTATTTTGCATTTATTTGATCCAAAATATACCAAAAACTGTAAAATTTTATATTTTTATAATTTATATTTTTTATACATTTATAAATATTTTTACTATTTAAAATAGCTGTTTTCTATGCGTTAAAACTGTAATTTTTACTCCAGTCTTCAGCGTCACATGATCTTCAGAAATCATTCTAATATGCTGATTTCTCGGGGTAAACTCTAAAAATAGTTCAATCCAAAAGTATTGTTTAGTGTAAAACATGTTGAAGATTAGCAGATAGGCTGTAGATTCATTAAATGATGAGCTGTTTCCTCTAAAAAGCTGTTTATTCAGAGAAGTGAAGCCTCTCCTCCATTGACATCCATTCAAATAAATGGCCTCTGGTCTCCTTTCCCGCGTACTGCCAGACCGGAAGCATTACCTTCGGCCGTTAAAAGGTTGCAGGCTTGCCTTCTAGTGGCTTTGTTTCAGCCTGAGTTTTTGTTGCATTTACACACTTTTGGATCAGCAGGCGTCACCCGCGTGTGGTGTTTTGAGCGCTTCGAAACAATGAATCATTTTGCGAAGCAATTGGTTCAATTGTGTTGCGAATCAGCTCATGGGGAAATATGAATAATTAATCATAACTAGTTATAATTAATTATAAATATTTAGATCCGCT